AAAATTGTAAAAGAAATGGAAATATAGATGAATAAAACAAAAAATACAACTGCAGTCCACATGTGGACTGCATGGTCGTCAATGGGTTAAATAATTATCTTTAAAAGTGCACATAGTATCGTGGCAATGAAGCAGCAGAACGAATTGTACCCGTATGTCCTTTCCCACGTACTCTACTCGTATGATCATCGGGGATGCTTGGTGGATGACCAGACCCTCAGTGTTGCAGATATCATCAGATCATGTACGCTCGTAACTGGGGAAGCAGGCATGTCATCTGATGATGCACTTGTGAAAAGTTACCCCGATTTTTCGATTCTACCTAAGAGACTTTCTCGAAACTACTTGGAAGGATCGAGGTTGTCGAACATGCCTTTGCTTTCCCAATCTCACTGCTAAGGAGGGGTCGTCTCTAATCGACCACGGAGAATTGAGCCATCCGAGTTTTTGGCAATTGATTTATGACATGTGGAATGCATTACATTACATTGCCGAGTGGTGGTGTAAAGAATCGACGACGGGGAAAGTTACTCCAGTTGTTGCTACGTCAAAGGGTTAGGCGGTGAAATGTTGGGGAATAATGACCACGGCATCTTTGCGTATAATCCTTCAGAGGAGCATGCATATTCAGTAATCAAGATGTAAAGAATTGAATCATTTCATGTTAATCAACCTACCCTCTGGATCTCATAAAAGCGATCGACTTCCATACATAACCTTAATGATGTTTTGTATGTGTCTATACGATGGCATACCACTGTCGTTTGATAAGCAAGTCAACGCTTTCATACTCGTATAAGGGTAAAGTACATCAATGTACCCCAAATGGATTGAAGGCTTGGTTGGTCTAGGCAAATATCGATATACCAGTTGACTGCAACTGACTAAACAAATAAACTTATCCTTCTATTTATTGGTCCCCACCCTCTCCATCGTGAGACGGTATTAATAAGAAACAAAATCCACTCTCCAAAGGTCTCACCTTTTCCCAGGCAATCGTGAACAGTAGTGAAAGGATTGCATGAGGAAAATTGAATAGCTGGAATTGCTCTCCCTATACATTTATCACGGAATGTGCCTTCAATTTATTACCAGATTATTTTAGTTGTGTGTGGGATGATCCCCTGCAGATTGATGCAAATGATGTGCTGCAAGCCACTGGAACCCTGTCAATTTTTCTAACACCCTCAATATGTAGCAAACAACCTGTCAATCCAATGCGGTTGCAGTTCCCCATCAACTACTTTTTTCAAATCCCCGATCCCAGAGACCCAATCTCCCACGTTGCTTCAACTTGTCACTGTTGTCATACCTTTTGCATTATCATTAGCATGTCTTCACTGGCTCATGACAGGAGAACAAGGTGTATCGGAATGATAAAGGCGTCGTACTTAACTGTTGCCGTTGATTCTTATGGGAATTAGACAATTCCTCGAAATTTCCACGGTAGGTGGTCTTGTACAGAGTCCTTTCAGAAAGCTGATCCTTACTGAAGGTTGCCGGAGGCGGTGAGTGGGATATGTAGGCAAGGGAATTTCACGCGTTGTCAAGAAGGATTAAGGATTGTTGATTAAGGAAACGACGTACGAGTCAGTGCTTTCATCCTCCTAGACGATTCTGATTCCGATCAATCGTGTCAGGAGGGATCGAAAATTTGGTTTGTCTGGAAGGAAATCAGTCTGAAATACGACTGCCGATTGATGCGTAGGTCCCGTGCACCTAGTGGCACTACACCACCTCTACGCCAATAAACATGGTAGAGTGAAAAAGTAGTAGCTCCAATACTCGACCCAAATAAGCAGGAAATACAAAAGGCCTAGCGTTTGGGTACAAACATGTGGGAGCTCATTTGGTCACAATGTCAATTGATACCTCTCGTACAATACAGGTCCGGTTTTTTGGGTTCCCGACGAATTCCTTTCCTCCCTTCCAGCGTACGTCATGGAAGCTACTCAACGCCCCCACTTCGACTTTCCACCTCAATCCAAAACGATTGACGTTATACCTACCTTACTTATTCGACGAGATGAATAAACAATCAACATAAACAATAAACATGGAAGAATTCATGAAACAATCCAATTACTTCATTTTTCAAGCCATTTTGCCGTTAGAGTGCTTATCCGAGGTGCCTTTGGAAGTGTTTTGTGAATGGTATGAGGTGCAGTTTCAAGTCAGGCAAAAGTTCTAATCCGAAAACCGGACCTTTAGGTACTAGGAGTAAGCCGTTCCGAACGTTTCTACTCGTTTTTTTCCTGGACATTTCCTGTCTGCTGTTATTTGTCAGATGCACGTTGTGCTGTACAGCTTTTCGAACAGCTAAATGGATTTCCAAGGACGCTCTAAGAGGTCGGGAGTGGTTGGCTGGTGCTCAAATATCGTCTTACAGCGTAATTTGCGACCAGAAGCAATGGGACATTGAATGGTCCGGTTCAGAGTCATAAATAGGAGATGGATGGAAGTGATGGAAAATTGGAAAGAAGTAGAAGAGAGAATGTAGCACATGCAAAAAAGTTGAAAAGCGCATCAAAAGACGCTTTGTTCAGCCGTTGGACGGCTATTTTCAATGATCTTTATGGCCTCAGAAAATGGCCGTTAGGTCCGGTTTGGCTAGCGCGAATTAGCCGCGGTCACTGACGGAATACTCTTGGAGTCCACCCACCAGTATGTTCGTCTCAGAAGCATCCAACTCAAGCTGATGCATGTGTGGGCAAATTGGCGCCGGCTCAAAATCGTTCAATCCTTACTTAGAGCATCTGCTGGCTCGAAATCGAACCTACTGCCACATCCTAAAGTGGAATGTTTTCATTTTTGTGCTACCATATGCTTATGTGTGCATGTATGGTAATCTGTTCAGTGACTGTCTGAGTCTAGTAGTAGAAGGCAAATTAAGGTGGAAAAGAGGCGGGGATTCCAATAAACATCGCAATGATTGATGTGGGGCCCATTGGAGTCACCCTCACTAAAGATTCTCAAGGGCAAAACCATTCAGAAAGTTTTGCTACAGCGATTCTGCAGCAAAACCGCTTAGACGATTTCAGAAATGGAAATGAGGCAATGGGAAAGTCGGAGAGCTGTCTGACAAACTTTCCCTCGGCACGCAACGTCGTCACAAAAAAGGAAGGCGACTTCGACACACAACGAAGGGGTCCACTGTCAAAAACTGGCAGGATGTTACTTGGCATAGGGAAACGCTAGAAATGTCAAACAACAGACTTCATGTTGATCCTCGTTAATGTTCATAGATCACGCCATGAACCAGGCTTCTATCCAGAATTTCGTTTAATTGAAAACGACTAAAAACGAGTTTGTTCAGGCTTTGTAAAAGCATCGTCACTTCTGGGAAAACTCGCACCAATGTATCCATCTCATTAAATAAACCAGTAAACAGGGTTAAAATACTCATCTATCCCGTAACCTGTAAATCATAACCAATACATCAAACTCAAGAGTTTGGCACGAAACATGGTAAAAGAAGGAGTCCCTCAATTTGCAATGTAACCTACATATCAATCTAAAAAGTTCAGCAAGTGGTAAACCAAGGTGTTGTTTAGTTTCAGGGGTTAAGAAGACCCCAATCATGACCTGGGAAGCACAGCAGCATGAGTCCCAATAATGAATTAGCGTTTTACTCTTTATCCCTATAAAGTTTTCCAGTACTGGGCAAAAAACAATACTAAACTAGACCATTAAAGTCAAAAATCACTGCTCTTCATCAGTATTTTCTGATATTGTTGCCTTTTTTGTATTTTGTCGAAAAAAGCGTCGTTTTAATTGAATAAGTATTTCCTGTGCATCTCTACTGAGATGGCGAGACAGTCGAAAACTGCTTTGTTCAATTTAAATCTGAATCTTTTACCGTCTAAAACACATATTAGCGAAATAAACCTCAGTATTGTCTTTATCATCCGACCGCTTTCAGGCGTCGCCAACAACGTCAGCTCGTCGAGAAGTGGATGATGACTCGATATCCTATCATTCTATATCTCTCGATGACTGCACTGCCATGCCGGAGTGGGATGAAGAGGTAAGACAACCGAATTTGTTGATTTTTCCTATGTAAAACCACCTAAGTACGTAAGACACACATACCAATTAGTCGTAACATCAACATTTTCATTCATGCATTTTCATACTTTTTCAGACATTATTATTTTTTATTGGTATTTCTGACGTCGCCTTGTGTTGCATATTTGATAAATGAAGTAAAATGTTCATAGGTCGTTAAATTTCAGCATTGGGACTTTGGAGCTTCGTTTCTGGCTGACCTGGATTCGTCTCATGTATGGAATGATACGTTAGAACGACAGCATTTTGGTCCACTCAAGGGATTACTCACCACTGGTGGCACGAAAGCGGACAGTCATCGATTTGTGTACGATTTTTTGGTCATCCTTCCTATTTTTTCAATCATTCTTCCCTTGACGTCATTCCTACTCAAAGCATGTTGTCATTTCAGATCCATTACTCTCGTTCATCCGACATGGTGCGATAAATGTGGCGATTTTATTTGGGGTTTATTGAAGCAGGCTTCCAAATGTGAAAGTATGTTGGAATAGATTGCTATTATTAATATTATTTAAAGGCACAGTTCACGGTAAAAATGGTTTGTGGGATTCCTCTACAGGATGAATCTGATGTCCCCGCGTATACCGCATCTGGCACTATTAGGTCGGAAAACGGCCCACTTAGGGGGTTCTAAAGGCTCAAAGATTGGCCCATGTGTATCCTCAGACGAGTTTTAACGGCTTTGTAGAGGTTGCACCAATCACAAGGGAACCCACGTAGGAAGTTCGAACAACTTGTCATGACCCGCAGCGACAGTGAATGACAGTTCTGTACAGTTCTGGCTTGATATAGTCAGCTCTTTGTGCAATTGCAATAACTGAAATCTCGTCNTTCCATGTTATTTCCGTCATGGCAATTTCGTATAACCTCTATTTTCCCTAATGGAGCCCTATTTTTCTCGAAATTTGTGAATTCTCTCGTTTCCTTCACTACCTATGAACTATTCCCAACCTATACTTCCACTTTTCGAACAAAAACGGGTACCTCAAAATTATCGTAAACTATGCCTTCAAATATGAATAGATTGGTTGAAAAAGATGTTATGCCTGCCGACATCTTTGCAGATTGCAACTATACGTGCCATAGTCGATGTCAAGAGTTGGTGACGTTAGAATGTCGATCAGCCGGTTCATCGTTAGCATCAGACGAATTCCCCTCCATCTATCCCAAATTGCTTGATGGAACCCTGGGAACTATCCCGAAAGAGTTACATCTGCCACCTCTCCAGTTACATTCATCATTTGGGGATTCCGACAAGGAGAACGAGACTTGTTTCGAGGTAAGTCCACGTCACTCCATTCCTTCCAGTGCTCTTTTCGTTTTTTTTTCGTTTTCCTCTGAATGACTGCAAAATGGCAGCATGATCGGATTATCGGCTCGTTTGGAGAAGCTCGAGAGATTGGGGTGACGTGTGGGATTTACGGAGCTGAGCTGTTTTTGCAATTTTGTTTCTATGGCTAATGTTTTCCATCTAGAATCCGCTATTCACTCCATCGAAGATGTCCCGTCCTCTCGAACCACCCTCATCATCCGATCCTAGCCGCCAACCCAGAGAGCAACAAGAGCCTCAAGAGCTTCAAGAACCTACTACTAGCCAGGTATGGTTGGCTTTATATTTCTTGTTTCCTTTAAATTTCTAAAGTTTTACTTTTTGGAAAAGAATTTGCCAATAGCTCTATGAAAGGCTTGGCCAAGGTTTTCAGCAAGCGTTCTAGTGAAAGCAGGTGTAACGAACTGAGCTTACTAATTTCTACACCGTATGGCTATTGGAGCTATCTAGTTTTCTGGGGGTTCCCATTAACGAGCTTGCTGTAGAAATATTTCCGAGGTTGAGTTCTCAAATGAAAACTCTTTTCGTCTTCATCCTCGACCTAATCCTTTTTGAGGGGCCGTTTAAAACCGAGTTGTGCCGACTATTGCCCTTACTTTACCTGATTATGGTGACTCAGGAATCCGGAAAATGAAAAATCGGTTCAGCCCTCGATTGCACCTCTTTATTAGAATGGAATTATAAATTCCAAATGGCGAACGATACGTTTAATAAGGGTGGGTTTCATCAGTAATTTAGCACCGTATCAACTGAAAATCCTTGAGAAGACGAATTTTTTTCTCTGACAAGTACATTATATGAGAGCAGTTAGCCAGACAGTATTTGAGGAAATTTTTCCATTCTTCATACCAGATTACCGTAATTCCTGATGAAATGGATGGTAGCATGGGAAGGAACTGATCTCTTGAGATGTATTGGCAGCTTTTAGCGCCTCTTACCGGATTTATTTTTCAAGTGTCCATGTCGAATCCTTCTACGAGACCCAACCGCTAGTTTTGCTGTAGCGACGATGGTTTTTCACCATGATTCATGCGGAAAATTGTCTCAGCAATTATGATTCAATGTGGAGAAAGCACTCTACGTGGCCTTAGGAAGAGCTATTCCCTAAAAACTGAATTGAACTGAATTTATCCATCTTTAACAACAGTCTGTGGCAATTTTAAGTGTGACCACCATGCTGCATATCATGGCTGCTCAAACTTGAGAAGCTCCGATCGCATGGCGCACACCAGCATATAATTTCGACGCTTCCCTCTTCTTATCAGCATTATTTTTATTTTTACTAAACTATTACATAATTAAAAAATTCGTTATAAACTGTCGTGATCAATATGAAAATGGTTTAGACGTTGCGAATATCAGAAGTGTATGTGAAAGAGGACACGCCGTTCGAATGGTCTCCAGCTTATCGTGATGAAAACCTCGCTGAAAAGATAGAAGAATACAATAAAACCAGCGATGGCCTTAGCATGAGAATAGTAGGTCCTAAAGCGAATTTCATCGTGAATGCTGGCTGAAATCGTGCAATTTTAGAACGATGACGGTGAGACGTTCTCTGGCCACATCCAAATCCATATGAACCTGACCCGACCGATCAATGTGGTTGCCGGAGAGAAACCGCCCTCAGTGTACGATGTTGTGAATACAGGTGGGTACCAAGAGCGGCATTTCTGCTAGGTTGATGCCCGAAAATGTCTAAAAATTTTTAAATAATGGACTAAGTCCTGTGTCAATTTGTTCTTTCCCATTGGTAATAAGCTCGAGCCTTTGCATTTTCTAAGGTTTCATGAGCTTTTTTGGATTCTTCAAATGTAAATCAGTTTTTTGGTCAAGTCTCTGATTGTAAGTCACCCACGTCATGAAAGCCACCGTCCCACACAGATGTGTACCCAAATGTCAGCTCGCACCACCGGTCACGTGTTAAAGCGCATACTGTTGGGATGATCCGAATTCCCAGTTAATGAATACAGTAGTTGGCGCAAGACCACTGCTACGTGCGCGTCTGCGACCGTGGGAATTCGGGTTCATAAACCGACGACCTGCCTCCTAGGGTATTTGAACTAATCAAAAGATGTAGTAATTCCACGGCTTAGGACCATTGAAGTAGGGTGGTGTGTATTTGAACAGAAGACTATAAAAAGTTTCTTATGCTTTTCGTACTGACATTCCATCCTCCAGCTTGTGACGAAAATTTTCAACCTGTGTTTTTACAGGGTGACAACGCTTTTGTATGTAGAACAAGCTGTGTGTCCATCTTCGTTTGGGATTAGAATTTGCCCAAGGATATGGACCAAGGATGGAGGGCAAGCACTTACACTTTTTCGATAGTCATTATTCCAGGGAGGTCGTTGTAGGTTGAAGTGGGAGATGGACCTTTCTTCTTTCACACTTACTCCTCTTCTCGTTCATCTTTTCGTTGGGGAGTTCTCCCAATTTTTAATGGTAAGCGCTAGCCCGGTTAATTTGTGACTTCTGGAAGGTGAATCTACCCAGCCCCTCTATACTGTTGTTTCTATCTGATCCTAACAGCCCCTGCCTCCTCTCCCTCCTATCTTTAACGACCCCACTCCTTTTCTGTCTGTCCTCGAAGTGCAAAAAGACCGTCAAATGTGTTACATACTGTTCACAGCAAAGCATTTATCATAGTAAAGTCAGAGAGTCGCATATCAGTGTTGACAGCAAATTATTTTAACAAGTCAAGATAAGATGTGGAATGAGCTCCACTGGGCTTATTGTTCTGAAAAGAACTTTGTAGTCGTTGTCGTTGATTCCTCCCAATGTATGGTGAATCACCTCGATCGGCCAGTTTTTTTCCAACGGTCGCTCGTCGCAGGCGACTTGCTCGATTCTCCAGCGGAGTTTCGTTGTTATCAGGAGGAGGTTCGATACGGTTTAGGCGATTCTCGCTGTGGTAACGAAGCAGCTGAAATGGGTCGGTTCTGGTCTGGTCAAGAGTACGAGTTATTCAGAAGAGCTTCTCAAGCTCCAATATGCCCTCCTACTTACCGTGCCATCACCTCTAGTCGCTCGTCGCAGGCGACTTGCTCGATTCTCCAGCGGAGTTTCGTTGTTATCAGGAGCTGGTTCGATACGGTTCAGGCGATTCTCGCTGTGGTAACGAAGCAGCTGAAATGGATCGGTTCTGGTCTGATCAAGAGTACGAGTTATTCAGAAGAGCTTCTCAAGCTCCAATATGCCCTCCTACTTACCGTGCCATCACCTCTAACTCGCAGACATTTTCTGTCGTACTGTGACTGGGGCTGTAGCTGTGTTTGTCGGGTTGCTGAAAGCAGTCTGGTTTCCATTTGATTCAGTTTTCAATGATGCTCTAAACTCACCACTACTGCTCATCGGTCGAGGTAATCGACTTCGTGGACGTAGTGTGGGGCTTTGTGGCAATGATCGTGGTGTAGACAATGTTCGGGAAGAACTTTGCTGAAATCTTGACGATAACAAAACCGAGGTCGGTTACCCAGTGCTCTGTCTTGCGCTCTGTATCCCATGGTCCGAAAAGGTATTGGGCTTTGCTGACGTCGTCTGATCCGACAGATGTCATTTCGAATGCTCAGTGATCGCCTCGGCTTTAGTTTAAATGGTCTTGGTGTTTTGGTATGTATGGAAACGGAAGAGGGATCCACGCTGTGGTAGAGCAACCGCATGCGCTTCATCAGTTGCGCTGCGCAAGGTGTTTGATGCATCAAACCCGGACAGACCCCCTTATTTGGCCTTCATCTACATAGGCAATGACGAAGCTGTGGAATATTCAAAGAACATATCCCCAGTACATCCCAGTATTATCTATGGAAAAGTAAACAATGGCTTCCGATCAAAATTCTCATTGCAAGTGGTGCACTCCTCATTTTTACAAGTACCCCTCTAAGCTTCTTGTCCATCATGCGATGTTCAGGAAAATCGATTCGAAAAGCCCTCATGGCTTTGAACATTTCCCAGCATGTTTTTCCCCAACTCTAACTGTGGGCAATTTATCTGAACACCGAGTAGGAGCTTTTGTTAACGCGCATTCTATCCTCATTCAGAGTCATAGTTGTAATTGGGTTAGATGAGTATTCGCTCTTTTCTGCGGTATGCTAGTGCACACGCTAATTAATTCAGTGTACTCAACATCCCCGAAAAGTCTACAACTGATTAAATGGCCCAGAACTGACTAAAGCTAATTAAGCTAGTTCGGAAGGGTAAACGAAAGTGCGCGATCTGGGCAGGTATCGATCCAGGGCACGTTCCCGTTCGGTAGGTCATGGGCATGATTTCCGTTTGGATTCCCTTAACCAGACTGTTGAGTAGTTGAGGTTTGAAAAAATGCTTGCGATCCGAAATGACCTGCAATCGAAGAGAGTTCATATCATAGGTCGGAGAATGCAGTGCGGAAGATGTTGCTTTGATCCTCTCCCTTACAGTCTCGGAATCATTCCTCTGGGCGATTCGCTCTTCGATACCAAGTCGATCGATCAGTATGTCTGTCACATGGGCGGATATGGCACGAGCTAATTGTTCCAGACAAGCCTCTATAGCGTAGTCGTCCTTGTCCTGAAACAGTTCTTTTACTGAAATTATGCGTACTAACAACTTTCTGGCTGTAACACATATAATTCCCCTCATCCACATATAAGATCATTTATACTTGTAAATGTGCGCTTACAAGGCTTCCTTTTGTCTTGGGCGCAGCAAAAGTACGTCCCCATTTTGAGCCCTGTAATGTGCAAGAGCAGTGTGCAATCTGTTGAATAAGTGCTTATGTTTGCGACCTTCCAGTAGGCGATAACCTTCCACCGAAGGCTTTTTCCGCGTCATCGCGGAGTTCGCGATTACGCGCACGAAACTCGGTCGCCGCGTAGTGTGACCTAGTTTCGTGCGCGGCTGTCGCAGCGGCATCTCCTGACCCTTCCCGTTCCCTTAATCTTTGAATGATCCTATATCTCTCGCTTCAATTCTATTTGCACCAGATCCTATCTCTATCAATTCCTTATCACCCGTTAAGGCTGAGAATGTTTTACATTTTGTCCATACGGTAAACAACGAACCTCTAACCGTCGGCCGTTCACGTGTGTCATCCTTATAGTGCCACTTCCTATCCGATCTTTTTTGGCCCAAACGTTAGCCTGGAAAAGACGTTGAAAGTGGCTGAAAACTAAAGATCAAGGATTATTCCTAACGTGGATCCGTGGGCGTGACCAGAACTAAGTAGAACTTTAAAGGTGACAGTTGAGAGAACGGTATAGAGTGCTGCAAAAGAGCTAAACCGGAGTCGCTCAAGCAGAGGATCGAGTCTCTTCTTTGTACCTGACTTTGCAAAGGTCAATTTTCCAGTATTGATTGTTTTTCAAGGAAGATTTGGAAATCGATGTCGATCGGCAAATCTGGCTCGTGCGCAACAAAAGTGATAGTTTAGCATAAACAAGAAATGAGTTCTTGCAAAATCTTGGCCGGACTCCCAAGTACAGTACCTTACGATCCCAGCAGTGATCGTAAGATACTGTACTTGTGAGTCCGGCGAAGATTCTGCGAGATCTCCAGCGTGTAGGTCTGAGAAAGTCTGAGTAGAAAAACAGTCAAAGTTGGATACCTCCTGCAAGAGATCGCTGAACATCGAGTCTAAGCTGCCTCGACGAGCCATTTTCTTGGTAATATATCAGAGATAGGAACGAGTATGTCTAGTGAAGTGGATCGGGCTTGACGCAAAGCGTCAGAAGTCCAACCAAACGAGTACGAGATTAGTAAGAAATGAGAAACCCCAGGGTCCAGAAGTTATGAATGATTCTTTATCATTTCAGGCAAATCCACCACATCTTCCCTACGCACGATAACCTCGTTCTTTTTGCCAAGGAACACGGTGAAGACCATACATATCAACAGCACAATGACGACAAGGTAAGCACTTTTGCAAAGGTGGGGAGGGGCAGCTTAGCTGAAGGTGCAGCAGCTGAGAGGCGGTAGAATCGATTCAGAGCACCTTCTCACGACGAAAGCACCCAGATGACGATTCTGTACTCGAGAACACGAGAGGATCAATAAGTCACGCAAGGCTGTCATCCCAAAAAACAGCGCCTGAGCACACACACACGCACAGACAACACTTCTGAAATGCAGTGGCGGCCAGTTGAAGCCGTCGGCGCCGCTCAGGAGCGCTTCCCCGAACGATTCGCACGCAGCTTAATGGCCGCAGGAATCGCCCGCCCCTTTGTCATCAATTTATGCACTCATTAGTAGTCAGTTTTCAAGCCCATCCCTTATATGAAATGCCCTTTGGCGAGTGAAACGTGGAACAATGACCAAGGGAGCCAGGAGTATAATCTACCGATTTAAGCTATAAACAGTGAAAGTGATGGGGTACTGCAGAGCCGAAGTAACGACAGCTCCCATGTTTTGTGAACTGGTTCCTCGTTGGAATTCGTCCATTTATATTTGCCTCGGAGGCAATCAACATGAAAGTCGTGACAGCATTCAGGCTGATTATATCTTTAAATACATATAGAAAGGGGTAGTGTAGTGCCAAGTGGTGCACTTTACACGCATGATCCTATTGGTCGAATCGTGGATTGGTANCTGTTCGGGCAACCAAACCTTCCATCTTTCAAAATTGGTTAATCGGTACCAGACTCCTTTGAAAGAAGAGAAACGCGGACTCGTATAGCACCTGGCCCGCCCACCTTCCGCAAGTATGTAATTATATGGGCCAGATACGTAATCAGATGCCGTTCTTTTTCTCCATGACGTCAATCCCGAGTCTCTCGGGGTCCGCTTTTCTTGCTAGCCGGAATGCCAGTGAGACTAGTGGGTGGCCGCAACTTGAGAACGATCAATGAACTCGAAGACCTTATTCGATATTTTTAATCACCAACTATCGAACGAAATCAACTCAGTGTGTGACAAAGGTAGCTCTCGAGAGGTGTGCTGCGCGGCGGGACAGCTGATCAGCCCTACTAGAAGCCAAACAGCAAAGTCATCGCGCGGCGGGACAACTAGCCAATCGCCGTGTATTACTAGAGTGTTCGGCATAGCGCTGTACGGGTCCGGGAACTTCTCCCTTGTCACGGCGTCGCCCACGCCGCACCCGCCGCGTATCGCAGGATTGCGATGGAAGATTGGAGCGCGCAATTTGTAAGGTAAGGAGTCTTTTAATTATTTGAATTGGCTGGCCGCTTTCTTCAATTTCGATGCAGTCTTGATCGCCGCTTACATAGGAGGAGTTATTTTAACTAATCAAGTCTAATAAACATGAAAACGAAAAAGAAACAGAAGAAAAAACGACAAAATCCAATGAAAGAGCAAGCCAGTCAAGGAAAAAATATCGCGTCCTACCGATTGGCGAGAGGCGGGGTGAGT